ACCATTTTGTGGCAATATGTAAACTGTAAATGTAAATTCATTTTTTCTGCCTGTCAACACTCGCGCTGCTCCCATTGTCCTTACTGTATGTCAGGATGACAAACTGTCTCACCTGCCCTATTTCAAGTTGACCCATCAGACATCATTATGTGTGGCCCAGCAACCATGAAACTGTCAAAGAATAACTGATGTCATGGAATCGGTGTTACTGAAACTATACATCATCTGATGAGTGTGAGAGACTCAGGCTGAGGCTTTCAAATGAGTTATAACTATGTTTAGGTCTAGGGTTGATTAATTGGCTTGAGTCAAAGATCACTGCCACACCTCCACCTCGGCCTGTGTTTCGAGGGATGTGACAGTTACTGTGACCAGGTGGGGTGGATTCATTTAGACTGACATATTCTTCCTGCTGTAACCAGGTTTCAGTAAGACACAATTAATCAAAGTGATGTTCACTTATCAAATCATTTATTAGTCCACATTTGATTGTCCTGTTATTTTCTTCTATAAGAGGAGTGGATTTAATTTTAACTAGGGTGTTATGAATAACTCCTCTTGATTTGATTTTTGATTTATATAATTTAGGTGGTCGGGGGGCAGACGCAGTCTCTTTGGGGTACTGGGAGTTTTGGGTGGGAAGCGGCTGCAAAGAGAGGCGTGTAAGACGGTGACCCTGCCTCCTGGACTCAACTCTGGGTTGTCATAATTTAGGTTGTAAAATAAACTCGTCCAGATTTCTAGATGAGAGCCGCACCACCCAAAGTGAGATGGATGCCGTCTGTGCAAATCAGACCAGGTTTTCCCCAAAATGTTTTCCAGTTATCTATGAAGCCCACGTTATTTTCTGGGCACCACCTAGAAAACCAGCGGCTGAATGACGACATGCGGCTAAACATGTCATCACTGGTCACATTGGGTAGGGGTCCAGAGAAAACTACGGAGTCTGACATTGTTTTAGCGAAGTTACACACCGACAACATTAATTTTAGTGACCTCCGACTGGCGAAGTTGGGAGTCATTAGTGCCGACGTGTATAACAACCTTACTGTATTTACACTTATCCTTAGTCAGCAGGATTCAATGTCACCTGCTCTGGCCCCAGGAATACATCTGATTATGGCCGTTCGGTGTCTCTAGCTTCATGTTTCTGACTATGGAGTCTCCAATTATCAGAGTTGTTTTCTCAGCGGGTGTGTCGCTGAGTGGGGAAAATCGATTAGAAACATGAACAGGCAGGTGATGCTCCGTGGGCATTCGTTTCGAGCTATGACTCTTGCAAACTGCCACCTGTCTGAGTTCCCGGCTGCTCGGGAAGCTCTGGGGGGGCAGCTAGCTTGGGCTCAGCTACATATAGGAGGCTCCATTTATTACAAGTACCATTATCGCTAAAGGAGGAGGAATAACTGAACATGCAACACTCCGAGCACGAGAAAGAAGGAGAGGAAGAGGGGGAAGCTATTGCTTAGCTAGCTTCTAAGCTAGCCGACCTAAAGTAGCAAGTTAAATTTGATAGTTAGCAAGAATTTCTGTAACACAGGTGCTAAGCAGTGCAGGTGTGTATCATCACTCAAAAAAATTCAGATAGACCTAGAAAACAGTGAGCTTAATCCCTAAACAATCTGGAAGCAAGCACAACACAACACAGTACAGGCAGAGAAAACAGGAAGTGGGTACGGTTACCGCAGGAACAGGAAACAGCAGTCTGTCCAACTTGTATGTGTTGTCCCTACAGTATATTGTTGCTACTTTGTGCTGTCATGTAATTGTTGCTTTTAATTTGCATTTAATGTTTTATTCTAATTCACATTCAATTGTTTTATCAGTACATGAATGTTTTATCTATTTGTATGCATTGTGCTAAGTGCTTTTAATTGCCATTGTGTGTGTTATAAATAACCTTTCTTTGCCTTGCTTATATGTTTATTGTGAATTTACATCTGGAAGATGTATACGAGTTAAAAATGTGATAGCAATGAGTTTAGTTTTGCATTCCTTCACTATGTCCCACCTGCAAATGACAAACAGCAGACGATCCATAAAAATATACTCCCACAGAATAAATGGGCCTCCGTATAATACAACCAGGTATTTTTGTGAGTAGTATGGTAGAAGCTGACCAACTCTAAGAAGCTTTGAAAATGTCACTAAAGATTTCAGGCACTAGACAAAGTGCAAGCGCATAAGTACAGTAGATCCAATATGTGCACGTGATGCATACATTTCTCATTATCCAGCCACACTGGCTGCGTTAAGTGTGATCATGGGGCCTCCTGAGGCACAACTTTGTGTTTTTGCTGTAACAGGTGTTGTAACCTCTTTTCAATGCACCATAGAAAATAGGCATCTGTCCTGTATCCACCCACTGTAGGAAAGCAAGTGAAGCTAACCAGATGTCCAGGATGAAGAGAGTTGCTACAATGGCATAAATTCCATCGCTGAAAGCCTCTACCCAGTCTGAGGGGCTCATTGGGCAGGTAGGTGTAAAACAACATGGAGTCTGGAGTCTCCTCCACATGACCTGAAAAGGACAAGATTTGGGTTCATTTCTGCACGTGATACATGTCATTCGGAAAGAGACTGACATCCACGCTCAAACGTCATTTCAAACCCCTTTGTTGTGTTGTAGGTGGCTTTTTCCCACCAGTCTACAACCCATCCTAACAAAGTGACAGTTCACTGTGGCACTCAAACCTGTGCTCAGGTGCATCTTGTTAGATTTACTTTTCCTTGAAATGTGTCCAGAACGTGACTGGAGTCCACCTGTGACAAACTGTACTGACTGGACAAAACAGAGCCCTGATGTCCAAGTAACTTTCTGTAGACCTCTGTGTAAGTGCCATTTTTGTAATATGCATAAGTTTGATTTGAAATTGTTCTTTTTGAGTAATGCAGCTGAGTGTCAAGTTCATTTGAATTGAAATTTATTGTAAACCTGTGGTTACAATTTGTGATGGCCTTTTGGCGCCATTGTATGAGACGCAGGAAGTTCATTTTCTCTTATTTTATTCTGTGAATAAACGAGTGGACGGCAGAGCAACACGGTATTTTACCGTGAGTTGTCGCACCAGCTCAACGCGTAAATATTCAGTCACATGTCCGTTCATTATGTATTATTATAAGAAATGTAAAAACGAAAGACATTTAAATACGAACTACAGATAACCATTACACTCTGTAATAAAAGTGTGGTGACACTTTGTTACTCAAAGTGGCAAAAAACACCAATTAACATTTAAAATGTAACATAACCAACATAACAGGCACTAGTGGGCAAACAAACGAAAAAATTAAGATCTATGGCAAGAGTTACCAAAGGCTATCAAATTGGCCAATACAAAGTTCTGTTATGGCAACCAGAAATGAAAAAATAGTGCCGTGCAGCCCTATTCAGTAATGAACTTTTTCCACTCAACTATAGCCTTTTTATATGAAGAAGTCATGTCCTTGTCATGGATGGCATCCAAGAGGACTTCTGTCTGGAGCACAGAGAGCAGTGTGGCAATACACTTAGGATATGTGAGGTGAAAGGCATAATAACATGCCATGAGATACATCACGCTAGTATAGATGTCCTCTTTCAGGAAGGTCACCACAGGCATGGTTCCAATGGCCAGTAAGCAATTGGTTTCACAGACAATCACGACAGGACTGAAGAGTGGTCTCGTCTGAAGAAAGGTGTTCGTATCTTCTTTAGACTGATACAAACACAGAGAAAAACATTACCACAAAGACAATTCACACTAGTTGAATCTCATGGTAAAGTAAGTAATATGAAATTTCTCATTCATGCTCAACTGCTTTTACCTCAAGAACATGAAACATAGCTTCACTTGCATGTCCTAACTTCTTGGGTGGAGCCACAGGTGATGGGAACATGCCAGGTAACGCCTTTATCATGGCAAGTGAGTGCTTCACTGTTAAAAACAAAATTAATGTCATTTGACTTACTGCAGTGAGTTAGATAAACAAACATTAATATGTTTCTCACGGGATTCTCCATCGACACTCCATAAAACTGCCTTCTCATAAAAGGTCCCCCAGCGGGTCATCAGGTCAGGTAAGTGAGAGTCGAGAATCCGATGCAGATCGAGAATCCGACGCAGTTCATCCATGATCTGAAACAATCGATCATGATCAATCAATCATGGAGTTTGTTAAACACTGTAAATCTTACACAACCTAGCTGGAGGCCTAGGAAGCATTAGCCTGGTTAATATGAGACTGAATTGAAACTGAAATGAAAATGAGTTTTACATTTGTCCACAACAGTTTAAGTTTGTTCCTGCTATGGCTTCTAACACACATTTGGTATCAGATGAGTCTCAAAATTAAGGAATGTGTACAGAAGGAAATATTTTTGTATTTATAAATTTTGTGAATTTCCTGTGTGAGCTTCACTGAATTTGTGTGTAGATGTTTTTCCAAGGTTTAATTCAAAAATGCATTTTTACAAAAGGATATCTACAGTTCACAAATGACAAGCAGTTTTTAAATGTAAGTTCAATGGTCTGTATATACAGTAAATGTAACAATATAATGTATTTTAATGAAAACTGCTAATTTAAAAAAAAGATCATTTAAATACTTCTATGGATTTCTATTACATTGAACCTCTTTAATTTGTGGATTTTTATACTGACATACAACAATAAATATTTTATGTGAAAAAAAAAACCATTTTGGATAGTCAACCATTAAATACTGACTTTTATCCTCCCCCCACACTTTTCTGTTCCTAAAATAATCTGTTAAATTTGCACGGGATTTATTACAGGACTGTTGGATTAGGCTGACTTAGTTTTATTGCCAACTGAGTGTACTCCAACAGCACAGCACAGAGTCTGTGCACAAACAGGGTGCATTGAATGGCTTCTCTGTTCATAGAAATACTAGTGTAGTAACGACCACTTCACTCAATAAAATGACATTTTAGTTATTGTCTATTTCCTGTTGTACAGGCTTTCGGTGATATAATGATATGCACGCAGGCCGTGCCACCCTGTCCAAACTTCACGCCAGCCCTTCACCACCCCTCGGGAATAGCTCCGCCACTGGCTCCCGTCTGTTTGTGTTGAGCTCAGGACAAATCGCGGCCGGGGGGGGATTTCTGTCAGTTAATGACCAGCTTTAACAGACCTGGGGGTTTCCTTAGCTCAAACTGGGTAGAGGTACAAGGGTTTATTTAACGAGTGGAGCACACAAAGCGTGTGCACGGAAAGGCGAGCGAGCAGCTGCAAACGGGAAAACATGTCGTCGTGTGAGTTTGAATCGCTGGAAAAGTCTCTCGAGTCTCATCTGCCGGAGGCCGAGCTGGCAGAGATGAAACGCATTTTATACGGAAAGGAAACCAAGTGAGTTGCAGACAGTCGCTGTTAATTTAAATGTCGTCATCCAAGCCTACAATATCTGGCGTCTTGTGTCGCCTCACTACTCCGCTCCTGGTAAATGATTATTCTGCTGAGTGGGCCCCAGTCTGTACAGCACCCAGCCTTTCATCTGTCCTAACAACGGGCTGCTGGACAAAAAGTTCGAAACTTTTGGAAACGTGTCTGTCCAAGTCTCCCAGTTTGCTACATACTGAGTCTAATGGTGTTGTTGCTGTAGATGTTTCTACGGTGTGTCCTACACAGGCTGAACCTGGAGAGGCTCCATGCCAGACGGCTATTTATTTATTAGTCACATGTGTGAAAAAGGGGCAATGCGTTCAAGAAGAGGGGAAAATGTTGTTTTCATTCCTCTGCAATTTAGTTTTAATAAAGATAGTGATAATCTTCTATTCTAATAGACTACCACTGAGTTGTTCAGGTGACATATTCAAAAAGCTTTTTCTGTTAAACCAAAGGCTCAGAATCCAAAGATATTCAGTTTGCTAAGTAATATGGCAAAGAAAAGAAATGCACATAAATGTAACTTTTTCCCCCTCACAATAATTTAAATGATGAGTTGGTGTTCAAAATAGTTGCCAATTACAGGCAATGGTCTGCTTCTCTTCTCACTACTGACTTCAAAACATTTTAACACTAAGACTCATTACGTCTTCTGCTGGTTCTCTGTTATAGGAAGCTGGCGCTCCCAGCATGTGCTGTGGAAGCTGCCTTCAAGCGTGACTTCGAGCTGAAGGGTTACAGCTTTGAAGCTGCCCAGGAACAGCTGAGGATGCCCAGGAGAATCCGAGTGGGACTCATTCAGCACCGCATTGTTCTTCCCACTGACGCCCCCATCCTGGACCAGGTCAGGACTCAATCACATGCTACTAACTAAATCAACATGTGTTCAGAGGTACCAGTTGTGGTTCAGTAGCAGTGGCGTAGGTACAGACTACATGCTGTGAGACATTTGATATAATTCACTTCTTAAAACTGCTTATGTAAAAGTGACTGGATGTGCCCTCCACAGATCAATGCCATGCACAACCGGGTTGGTGAAATGGTCAAGGTTGCAGCCATGTGTGGTGTAAACATCATCTGCTTTCAGGAGACTTGGAGTAAGTACTTAATGAGTCACAACTCCAGTACAGCTGTAACTGTATATGTTCATCTACTGTAAATAAAACACTGAGTGTAAAGCAGACTGACTCACATTTTTCTTTTCACAGCCATGCCTTTTGCTTTCTGCACCCGTGAGAAAGAACCATGGACAGAGTTCGCAGAATCTGCTGAAGAAGGAAACACCACACTCTTCTGCCAAGAGGTGAGATTCCACATGTCTGACACAGTGCAATGGTATGACTCACATCACATGTCTGATAACACTGTAATTCTGTCCTTAGCTGGCCAAAAAATACAACATGGTAGTAGTTTCCCCAATTTTAGAACGAGAACAGCTGCAGAGCACTCTGTGGAACACAGCGGTGGTGATCTCCAACTCTGGGAATGTGCTGGGAAAGAGCAGGAAGAACCATATCCCCAGGATTGGAGATTTTAATGAGGTCAGTGGGTGATTTCATTCAAACTATATCACCCACAGCATGTGTGCAGAATTAGGCAAACTGCTATGTTCACTGTGTTTTCTTCACACTCAGTCAACGTATTATATGGAGGGCAACACTGGCCACACAGTGTTCCAGACACAGTTTGGGAAGATAGCTGTGAATATCTGCTACGGGCGCCATCACCCTCTCAACTGGTTCATGTACAGTATGAACGGAGCTGAGATCATCTTCAACCCGTCCGCCACTGTTGGAGCACTCAGGTGAGGGACTAAATGCAGTAATTGTTATTTCTGCCTCAGGCTCCTGGAGGAAAATATTAACCCTCTCACCCCTACAAACCTCCTGTTTCTGTGTGGGAGCATAAACAAAGTTAAGTCCACTTAAACCAGTGCCCACACGGTGAATCAGGGTGTTTGGGTTGCCCTGGAAGTATGGGGCCTTGATTTTATGTGGTCTAAAAAGGCAATGCAATAATAGTAGTCTGGGTCATTGTATCAATGTTACTGTTATGTATTGCTACATATTATGCTATATGCCTGAACAACAATGTTGTCTCTTCTCCACAGTGAGCCCATGTGGCCTATAGAGGCCAGGAATGCAGCAATAGCTAACCACTGTTTCACATGTGCAATCAACCGTGTTGGAACGGTGAGTCTACTGCAGTCCGACTGCATAGATCACAACTATGAACCATGGCGCAGGAACATGACCGATCAATTCTACAGCACTGAAATAAAAATAACTGTAACTCTGGTCCCACTCAGCTGCTGAATAATCACTGGATTGTGACTTTGTGTCTTTCTGTATTTTACACAGGAACTTTTCAAAAGTGAATTTACATCTGGTGATGGAAGAAAAGGTAAGAGACAGTTCACTGAAAAAGCTATAATTTCATTTAACTTGCATTAGTATACACACATTCCTGTCCAGTATATGTGTCTGAGCCAATCTGAATTCATTACATGGCCAGATAAACTGAGGACAGTGTATATTTGATCTTCTGCCATCACCTCAGGATTTACTCCCTTTCTGCAGGATTAATCTGTATCTCTGCATGAATTATTTTTCTTTTAGCAGGTGTTTCCTCATGGTGGGGGGGCCTGCTTTTTTTATTACTCCATTATGCAGATGAATGTTTTCCACTATATTTTTGCTTTAATATGTTAATCTTTGGGCTGTCAGGCAAACCCTCATGTGTTTTTCTAGTCTTATATCACTTAGGGGTTTAAAAGAAAAATCAATTTATTTATTCTGCAAACAGGAGGGAGGACGCAGATATGGAGTGAGTGACTTTAATGTCTAAAAAGATTTGCAGGCAAGGTAACAAGAACAAAAGTTTGCAGCATAAAAAAAAATCCACAGAAATATGGCAAATTGGCAGGAAGCAGGTGGAACTGGCTGGTATACTACTGACTGGTTTGAAACTGGGAACAGGTGTGTAAGTGACTGGTCACTGGTAGGACTGAGAAAGTACTGGACATCTGGTGGCTGGCTGGAGAAGGGCAGTGATTGTGTGGCTAATATAGAAAGGCAGGGCCTAGGGCAGAATGGGAAGAGCTTACAAGACGGGGGCTGGGATTGACAATATGCTGTGTACTGTGGCTGTTACTGACAGGGTGAATTATTTCTGTACCATTTACAAACTGCTTTCCTGACTCTTGCAGCTCACCACGACTTTGGACACTTCTATGGTTCCAGTTATGTGGCTGGGCAGCCGCACCCCAGGGCTCTCCAGAACCCGTGACGGGCTACTGGTGGTAGAGATGGATCTCAACCTCAACAGACAGATCAGTGACAAATGGAGTTTTAAGGTAAATTGACCTGGGCATTGCTTAAGCAGCCTCCCTACTTCAAAAAGATCAGGTTTTGCCTTTTTGTTCCTGGGAAGGGGTTTTGGAAACACTTTAGTTGTGATAGAAACAGGTTCAAACATACAATCCATTCTTCTCCATGACTGTCACACCTACTGTTCTCACTGCACCTCTGTTTGCAGATGACTGGGCGGCATGCTGAATATGCAGAGGAACTTACCAAGGCTGTCAGACATGACTTCAGACCCAGCATAGTGAAGGAGTAGAAGAGAGTCCACATATACTCACTGGCCACTTTATTACAACTCTATGCACTTCATTGCAACACTTCCACCTTCACATTTATGTTTATGAAGTTCAACATGTTTGTTTTAGTGTGAACTTGTCATAAATGTATAACTTCAAATTATATGTTTAGTGAGGCCATAATTAAAAGGCTACATTATATTCAGAGGTGTTCCAAATGTTCTGACCCTCATGTATGTAGTTGGGGAGGACAAATATCGAGACTCTTCTGAACATAATCTGGTCCAGTTCAACAGCACCTTTTAACTATGACCTCAATAATTGAATTTATACATTTGACTGTCACCAAAAAGGAGTTTCATGAACATAAATGTTAAGGCCGAAGTGTTTCATTGAAGTGCATACAGGTGTACCTAATAAAATGGCCAGGCTGTACATCATGCAACTTCCACAGAGCGAAGTTAGTGAGATGAAATTCAACATTACCATTCTAGTCCCATATGATGAACAAGGCCCAGCTTCCTCCTCTCTGGCCACATATTTCTATTTAACCAGGGTCTAAGTGCTTCATTAAAAATGCATGTACAAAGAAAAATGACAAGGCGTGACCATGTGTTCAAAAATCCTTTAATCACAACATATAAATGCAGCTGTGTCAAATAAAAAAATAAGGTTTTCAGTTTAAAAAGTGCTGTTTGTTTTTACCAAAGAAAGCACAATGGGAAGAAACCACATTTCATAGATTCAGACTATTTCATGGTAAAACCTTTCATTTAAATATCATTCTGTCTGTGTAGTGCAAAAATATAACATGACCCCAAAATGTAAAAAATCACTTTCAACAGAGACCAAGATAGAGTCAAAACTGATCGGAACATGCACACCATGCGAAAGCACACCATGCGACTTTTCATCTAATTGACCATTTCTGATTTTAGCTAAATATTTTAGTACTAGGTTTATGACCAAATATCTGCAAAATTGGCATTTCAGTCGGCCCAAGCTAATGTTAATGCTAACATACTAAAGTCAAACAATGTACATGGTGTTTGAAGGCCATGATATGCTAACCCCTGGACATAGGAATAAAGCTTACCTCTCACACTAAGGTGGCATATTTGAAACATATTAAAACTCCAAACAATGCTTGAAACAGCATCTGGAGTATTGCATTGAACTTTTTTCTGATTTGATAGATGTCACACTGTATGGTGTTAATTACCTGAGGGACTTGACTCAAAAGAACTACTTCCTGTTTTCCCTGTTGACACAATCATCTGAATAAAAAAGTGACTAAGAGGTGAGTTAGGAGGAGGCAAGTGGAGAAGAGGCTGGAGGCTGCAGATGAGCTGCCTGCACATTAACACTGCACAGAATGAACAAGTTGGTTATAATAAATCTTGTCATCATCAAGCCTGAGTTATGTGCACACAAGTTCCTGATAATTCCTCTTCTAGGTCTTGATTCATCTACTGTGGCTGCACAAGTCTGAAACCTAAGACTTCAACAGATCCCACATGCAGGAAACCACCATT